AGAGAGAGAGAGAGAGAGAGAGAGAGAGAGGGAGAGAGAGAGTATCAGAGGCTTGTTGGCTTATGTGCTCTTTAAAGCTGAAAATAATTCAGTGACTGGCTTCATGATTCTTCTCCAATGAAGGCCACAAGCTCTATCAGATTGGTGATCACATTACTTTTTTTCTACCTAAGTTTCACTTCAACTGGTCAGTTTCTACTTCCGCTCATCAGTTTGTTTGATTTACATCGATTTTTATTGTTTTCTCTCTTGCTAAATGTTGCGCTTTTGTTTGTTCAAAAATTATTGTTGTAACCGTTTAGAGCTTTTGCATGTTAATTTCGAATTTTGAGCACAGACAAGAGAACCTTGAATCTTCATTTTCGTGTAATCATATGAATGGAATTTCAACTGAATCGTTGAGACTTGAGGGAGAGAGAGAAAGAGAGAGAGAGAGTAAAATGGTGTTTCTGGATATTCAGCCTTGAATATCATTTTCGTGTTTCTTGGATCTTGAATCTTGAATCTTCATTTTGGTGTAATCAAATGGTGATGAAAGAGAGAGAGAAAGAGAGACGAGAGAACCTTGTTCGTGTAATCAAATGGTGTTTCTGGATATTCAGCCTGTGAGATTTCAAAGAAGTAAACAAGAAAAGCCACATTTTTCAATTTCACAGACTTTCTTTGTGTGAACTTCATAGACCTAGAATGTGGGTTCACGATGATGGTAAGAAGAAACAGAAATCTCTTGCATTTTGATAGATTTAGGCTAAATCTTATTTGCAGATAGGTTCTCAGGAAAATTTGAAAATTTATGCAGTTTACAGCGGATTCACCATTTCTAATGATATTAAATAGTTAAAAAGGCCTCATCAGTATCATTTCTCTTTGGATCTGTGCTATTTCTTCCATGCATATTAATGATTTAGTAGTCGGTATCATAAATTTCAAAGACAGCAAAAGTTTTGTCGCATTTTGGCAGGGTCTTGGCATTTGGGATTCATGAGTCCAATAATTAAGAAAAAGTCAACCAAAAAAACAAAGGAAAAAAAGGTCCTTGTGCTGTATCTAGGGTGCCAATGTGGCGTCGGGCTTCCGGGCATTGTTCGGGCTAAACCGGGACTGTTATGGGCTATGGGCCAGGCCAAAAAGAAGACACTATTCATCATGCTGGGGTCGTTAACGAGCCAGGCCGAAGTGGCCCTGAAAGCCCGAAAACCGCCAGCTGGTTGGGCTGGCCCGGCAAGCCTAGTAACATTTTGCCCGGCCCAAATAAAGCCCAGCCGGGCCCATTTAGAAGCCCTTAAAAAAAAAAAAATCTCCATCTTCAAACTTTTCTTATTTGTAGTATGCCCCAAAAAATTTAAAAAATAAAAACATGCTAAAATATTTTTTTGAAAATTTAAAACCCATTCGCTCTTTATGGAAATCCAATCTCTTTTTCTTTTTGTAAAAACTTATTCTCTCTTTCTCAGTCTATAAACCCACACTCTAGTGGAAAATGATGCAAAATTTAGAACTTGCGATGCAAAAAGTTAGAAAGTGCGGTCCGCGTCTAATGTAGTTAATGAGTTATAAGTATATCTTTATTTTAGTGGGTGTTAATGGGTAGTTATTTTGTGGGGAGTTATCTAATCGCATAAGTTTGTGGTAGTTATCTAATCATATAGGGGTGGGCAGTTTGAGTCATGGGTAGCTTCAAAAGCATGTAATGGAATCACAGGTTGCTAAAAAAAAAAATAGATAAAGAGATCACATATTGCCAACGAGAAAGGCGTTGGTATAGAAATTTAGGACCAGCAAGACAGAGACAAAACTCAAGAGAAAGGTGATAGAAATTGAAATATCTTTATTTAATTTCCTGTATTATTTCATGTGACACACCCTAATAGTCCAAATATTTTTCAACTATTGCTTCCAATTCTCAAAAGTGAATTTTATGAGCATTGGAAAATTAAAATGCAAGCAATGTTTGGGTCTTGATTAAAAAAAAAGAAAAAGAAAGAAATAAAAAAAAATAGATGATTTTAAAAATATATAATTTTTTTATTATTAAAATGTTAGGTGGTTTGCAATGAAAAACAAACGAAAAAAAAATTAAGTGTGATGTTCTTGGAAAAAGAAAATGGAGATTTCTTAAAAAAGGGAGAAACAAAATTGGAGTGCTCTTGATATTGTATTTTTGCAAAAGTTTTCAGAAAATGAGATTTAAAACAAAAAAATATGAAATGGGGACATGAGTAATCCTCGTGAGAAAAAATGAAAAACGATTTTTGAGAAAGAAAAAAAAACAGGACACCACGGTATGTCATACCATGAAAAGGCAGGATGAGAAATCCATGCTTAGTATAGATATAGGAAAAATGATTTTTGAAAAAAAAGAATAGGACATCGCAGTCCTAGTGTTTTATGCTAGGAAAAGGCATGATGATGCTGTGAAAATGCATGATGGTGTCTAATGAGAAGGCATAACAAAGAAATTGTGTGTAAAAAAAAAACAAGACATTGCAGTCCTAATTTGTCTTGTCATGAAAAAGCATGATGATACCATGAGCATGCATAAAAAATGTTTTTTTTTTTAAAGAAAGGGACCGCAGTCCTGGAGTGTTATCCCATGGCATAAAAAACTAGGAGAAAAATGTTAAAAAAAAGAATTAAAAAGAAAATTAATTGCTGCAATTTTTTTTATAAAAAATAAATTAAGAAATATGGTCCTATTTATATATGTGAGGTAGAAGTCAAAAGAAAAGAATTTTCAGAATCCTATATTGATACGAAAAAGGAACCCAAACACAGTGCAACCTATTTTGCCATATCGCAATTGGCAAAAATAAAAGAAACCGTTGAAATTAAAGATGACGAAGAAGAGAAGATGAAAATTGCAAGAGAAAAAAAAATTTGTGAAATGAAAAAGCATATTGAAAAACTTGAAGCCATGGTTTCGATATTAAAGGAGGAAAATGAAAACTTTCATAATTTTATTAAAAATCATGTAAACGAAGTTTAAAAGAAAAAGAGGAAATTTTGCATCAAGCGGGAATATTGAAAATGATGCAAAATTTAGAATGTGTGATGCAAAAATTTAGCAAGTGTGGTTCGTGTCTAGTGTGTTATGAGTTATCGGTGTCTTCCTCTACATTAGTGGGTGTTAGTGGGTAGTTATTTTGTAGTGAGTTATCTAATCACGTAGGTTTGTGAGTAGCAATCTAATCATGTACGTTTGTGGGCAATTTGAGTCCTAGGTAGTTTCAAAACTGCTCTAAACGTCCTATATAGGTACCATGTAATAGAATAATTGTAACATGTGGATATAACCTATGAATGTAACCTTGGAAATGCGATATAAGTGATAAATCTTGTGAGTTTGTGATTATCTATTCAAAAAAAGAGTCCGTACTTCCAACATTCTATGAGAGCCTATATAAAATTTCAACAACGTATTTCAATCTCTAGAAACCCAATCTCTTTGAGAGCCTATTCTCTCTCTCTCTCTAAACTTAATCTTTCTAAAAACCTAATCGCTCTTAAAATCCCATTTTCTCTCTAGAAACTCAAATTTGCTTTCTCTCTCTAAAAACCCATTATCTCTCTAAAAACTAATCTCTCTATAGAAGCCCAATCTCTCTTTCTCACTCTAAATACCACTAATTACATTGAAATATTAAATTTAAAAAAAATTATTTTAGCATGTCTTTTTTTTTTTTTCTTACTACGAATAAGAAAAGTTTGAAAAGAGAGTTAAAAAAAGAAAAAGGCTTCTTAATGGGCTGGCTTGGTTCCAGCCCAATAGAGTCTTTTTGGGCCAGATTTTAATACGATATTTTCGAGCCGGGTTTCTGCGCATGATTTTTGGGCCAAGCAGAAGTACCTCCGGGCTTTGCCGATGGCAGCCCGAGTTGTAACTATTGGGGTTTCATTTCTTTCTTGTATCATGGTTTTAGGGCATTGGGCTTCAAAACATAAGGACTCAGAGCCGGACCCGAATAATATTCAGGTTCAAAATTTGGACCCATATCCAAACCCCTCGGGTTCCGAGTTTACACGTCGAGTTTCGTGCTCCATTGCCACCCTATGACTATGAGCTTTTTTTTTTTTTTTGCCCGTTTTTTACTATCATATACCCTATGATTTTGAGTTTTTTTTTTTTTGTCAATAATACTGTAAATATTGCCAATATTATAACAAGCACCTACCGTGCCCCTAAAGACACATGATTGCCATCATACACCTTATGACTACGGGTACGGGTCGGGTCCAGTTCCAACCGGACTTGAATATTAGCTGGGTCCAAAATTTGGACCCATACTCAGACCCCGAGGTCGGGTCCCTGGTCTGGTCGGGTCCATTACCCAACTTCTTTTTTTTGCCAATAATACTGTAAAGTTTGCCAACATTACGACAATATGAGCACTGCGCCTAAAGACACATGATTGCCATCATATACCCTATGACTACATGTACGGGTCGGGTTTTGCTAGAACCAAACCCGAACCCGGATTCGAATATTATTCAGGTCCAAAATTTGGACCCATACCCGAATCTGACATCGGGTCTACCCGTCGGGTCCCTAGTCTGGTCGGTCCATTATCGGGCTTTTTTTTTTACCAATAATATTGTAAATGTTGCAAAATATGAGCACCTAGTATGCGCCTAAAGACACATGAATGCCATCATATACCCTATGACTATGAGTACAGGTCGGGTCGGGCGGGAACCGAACCTAGACCCAAAGTCGCGTCTACCCGTCAGGTCTCTGGTCTGTTCGGATCCAAAATTTGGACCCATACCCGGACCCAAAGTCGGGTCTACCCGTCAGGTCTCTGGTTTGGTCGGGTCCATGGCCACCCCTACAACACATTCAACACTCTATGTTTGGGATTATTCATCTATTATTATAATTTCTTGAAAACATTGGGAAATTCTGTTTCAGGCCTTTTGGCCTATTTTTTTTTTTTGGTGACATGGGGACAAGAATTATGATTTGTCAGTGAATATCATCAAGTTGTCACTTCAATAAAAGGAGAATCTCAATTGGGTTTTCTTTTTTTTTCTACATAGAAGAAAATATTACAAAAATTTATTTCCAGCTCTTTTGCTCTGTCCCACTGGAACTTTAGAGAAGGAATTATACTGAAAATAGAATAGATGTTCCATGTACTGTTTTCTTTTTTGTTGTTCTTTTATGCATTTCTTGTTTGTTTCATCAACAATTTATTCATTATTTTCTGTTTGTTTGATTTTTCAGAAGCCTATGACGCACTTGACCCAAATGGAAATATCACCATCAAATGGGATGTTATGTCTTGGACCCCAGATGGCTATGTTGTAAGTAATATTATGACAAGGGAATTAACAGTATACTTCTGAAGTTCTTATGAAATCAATAAAATGCATATGGTACTCATCTGAGGATTTTTTATTTATTTCTTATGAGTGAAGCTTGTAGCTATTCAGAAACTCTGTTTGAAGTGAATCATCATATATCACTAGTTTATAAGATCTTGGTATTGCTATTCAACTCATTTGCAACTTGTATGAGAGAGAGAGAGTATGCCGATTTTCTTCCTCTCCCTGTCTGTAGTGGTATCAATATGTGCATTGGACCATCATGGAGTCCAAAGAACTATGTTTCTATTGCCACAACTCTTCTTCAATTTCAAATTTCATCGAAGAGTAAAACTTGGGTTTTGTTAAAACCATAAATATTGCGCAGGCGGTTGTTTCGATCTACAATCTTCAACAATTTCGCCACATTGGAGCACCAGGGTGGACTCTAGGATGGACATGGTCTGAAAAGGAGGTCATATGGAGCATGGTTGGAGCTCAAACCACTAAACAAGGAGACTGTTCTAGATTCAAGGGGAACATTCCTCATAGTTGTGAGAAAGGTCCAGAAGTTGTTGATTTGCTACCTGGTACTCCTTTTAACCAGCAAATTGCAAATTGTTGCAAAGGGGGTGTGCTCAGTTCAATGGTTGACCCTGAAAATACACTTAGTGCCTTTCAGTTAAGTGTTGGAGCAGCTGGGACTAGCAAAAGAACCGTTCTTTTGCCCAAAAACTTCACACTTATAGCACCAGGGCCAGGATATACTTGCGGACCTGCTAAAGCAGTGACACCCACCAGGTTCATAACACCAGATGGAAGAAGAGTTACACAAGCTTTGAGTGAGTCAAGATTCGGATTCTAGTCTCTATTTTGCAGTAAAAATGCGATCTATATTGTCATGGTAACAATTCAGTTGTGAGGGGTCGCCCCTGTCCCACCAAGAGGTTGAACAGCAAGGGAATGTGGGTCACATGAGCCACTCTTCCTCCATGGTCGTTAAACCTATTGATGAGATGGTGATAAAGCTTCCATGACTACACGATTACCAGTGTGATATCGGTCATAGCATTCTTTCCCTTTGTTATTTGGGATAAGTATATTTTTCTATCTAGTTAAGTACAATCCAATGCACCATAGAGAAACCTATGCCACTGATTCCATGAACAGTTAATGGCATGATGGAAGCTAATGGAAAGATAGAGGGATCCACCATCAGGCTTAAGTTCCGTTCTGGTGGCTGCCACTCTCTCTCCATCACTCTACAATTCATTGGATGGTAGTGAGCCTAATCGCATATAACTATCCTGAGTCAGTTGGATTATAGTATACTTTCCCTTTTACAGAGTACATGGAAAAGAGTTCGCGATCAGAAAAAAGTGGAAGAGATATAATCCATAGACTGTGTTACAGCTTCATTCATTTGATTGAGTTTTGTAAATAAGTTTCATATAATTTGATAACCATTTCTTTTGGTTTCTTGCAGTGACATGGAATGTTACATGTACATATTCTCAGTTCCTGGCTCATAAGACACCTACATGTTGTGTATCACTTTCATCTTTCTACAATCACACAGTCACCCCTTGCCCGACCTGCTCTTGTAACTGTGGAAAGTACTCAACTCAACCTGGAAGATGTATAAAGTAAGAAACTTCATTCATATTTAAAGAATTACGTCATTTAATTTGAGAAGTAAGGAAGAAGGATGAAATCTAGGACTCTGGCTCAACTTTGGCTAAATATGGATTTAAAACTAGAAAAAAGGAGGCCTGAATTTTTTGAAGTTATGCGTTATAAGATAATATAATATATACCTAATAATATTTAATTTTTGAAATCCACATTCATGTCTTTCTGTCTGAACTTCGCTCCAAGTTTTGCAAGTACTAATCTGTGTATTAGACTCTCTCACTCTTTTTGCTATGTCAACTATTTAAATGAATAATTGAAAAAGTGGGTCTTCATTTTTTTTTATTAGATTATAGAGGTGTATGGTTTTCAACTGAATAATTAAAGAGAGGTCTTTATTTTCTTCTTTTCTACTGGATTTATTGGCCCATGGTCTTCCCTTGAAATCTTGAACAATTAAGATCTGGGTTCCTTTTCTTTTTATGTATGGATTTTTACAGGGGGGGTTCATCGCATTCGACTCCTAAGGAGAACCAGTCACCTATGGTTCAGTGTACAAATCATATGTGTCCAGTCCAAGTTCATTGGCATCTGAAGCTCGATTTCAAAGATTATTGGTCTGTGATGATCACTATAACCAATTTCAATTACCATGTGAATTATACTGAATGGAACCTGGTTATTCAGAACCCCAATTTCAACAATCTCATACGGACTTTCAACTCCAATTACAAGTCCTTCACACCTTATGGAGGGATAAGTGAGTATCATTGCATTACTTCTATGCTATTTGGTTGTTGCTTGAAGTGATTATATATCAACACATACCCAGATTTCTTGTATAATAAACCGAGAATCTCACACTTTTTGTTTTTTTTTCTTCTCAATAGTGACTAAATAATGACTCATATTTGAAGTGATTATATATCAACACGCACCCCGTTATCTTGTCGAATAAACTGAGAATATCACCTTTGTTTTTCCCTTCAATAGTGTCTGAATAATGACTCATATTCCCTCTGATTCTTATCAACACATACCCTGTTTTCTTGTATAATAAACTGAGAATCTCACGTTTTTTTTTTCTCCTTCTCGATAGTGACTAAATAATGACTCATATTTGAAGTGATTATATATCAACACACACCCTGTTTCTTGTATAATAAACCGAGAATACCACTTTTTTTTTCTCCGTCTCAGTTGTGTCTAAATAATGACTCATATTCCCTCTGATTCTCCTATATTTTTAAACTGCTGTTCGTTGCTTGAAATTAGTTTTAAGATTTACTGCATTGATAGTTGTCATTCTTTTTTTTTTTTAGGTAATTAATAGTTTTTATCAATCTTTCAAAGAATATCTGGTCTTTCTGACCTGGTATTTTCCTTCTAAGCTGCATCTTATTTATATTGTCAAGGGTTTCTTGTCATAGTTCCAATTTTTTCTCGTCTTCTGTGTTGACTTTGAACATTGTTGTATTCCAATTTTCTACAATGATATTGACTTGCTCCATTCATCTTTATTGCATTTTTATTTTTTTCAATCAACTGAGATCATCATCATCGATATCCTCTTTCTTATAAGAACTTACTGCCTTGCTCTCGTGGATCAACAACACCGTTAACTGTCACCATTTGGAAAAGGAACAAAAAAAAAAAAAAACAGAATCTACTTGTGCTCATTGTTTTATTGTAGAATATTATTCACTTCTTTTTAACTTCCATTACTTCATATCATCATCATCATCATCATCATCATCATCATCATCATCATCATCATCATCATCATCATCATCATCATCATCATCATATTTGTGTCTGTATATGGCATATGGTATTACAATTTATAAATTTAATTCATCATGAAAATCACATAATCACGATTATCATCGTCATTATTACTCACTCAACAAATTGAGACTTTTATGTGTGTTGCAGATGACACTGCTGTACTATGGGGAGTTAAAAAACATAATGACATCCTATTGCAGGCGGGGCGCAAAGGATTCATACAATCTAAGCTTATATTTAAAAAGAACACTGGAAATTTCACCCCCGAGAAAGGCTGGGCATTCCCTCGTCGTGTGTATTTCAATGGAGATATTTGTGTCTTGCCCCGACCTGATGCGTATCCATGGCTTCCCCCATCATCTCATCCATAACATGTATGTAGTGTTTGTTGGGTTCAGCCATACTATTCAATAAATTTGAGTTTTTTTCCCTTCTGAATATTATTGGGCTTTGTAATTGTACTACTGCTGTTTTCATTGGCACATTCTTTTTTTTGGGCCAAGCAACAAAAGGACCAACAACATAATAGATTATAGAAAATTTTCAAAAAAAAAAAGAAGAAAAAGAATACATATTATATAGTAAAGGCCTTTTGGCATGAGTGCATTATGCAAGAATTGATTTTTGGGGTACACTCAGGGTCTGTTGGGTCTGGAAGTGGGGTTTTGATTTTAGGGTTTTTAAAGCCTTAGGGTTCGAGTGCTTGGCTTGACAAGGCTTCGCCTAAGTTTCCTAAAAGAGGTCCCCTAAACTCAAAGCTGGGGGTCCCTATTTATAGGCAAGGGACCTGGGCAATGTTTTAAAAAAGTGGCGGCAAAATCTGGACCGTTGATCATTTGTGAAATAATCTAACTCGCTTCTGCATAAGGTTTATTCTCTTACAAACTAGGTCAATTCGCAAAGCTCCACCTACGCTCTTAGGCCTTTCGGAGTGTTAGCTATTAAGATGGGAGCTTTGGGACATTTAAGAGGGGTAAATTGCTCTTAAAGTGGGATTAAATAAAATAAAAGTGGGTCAAAAACTGATTTAGGTGGGGTTGAAGTCTTGTTTTAGTTATTTGACTTAGGTTGAGGGTTCCTAATATTGCTTTAAACCTATTTTGGAAGGATTTAGGGTGAATCTAGGTTAATTTTGGTGGGTTAGATCTTAATATAGTAGGTTTAAGGGAGTTCAAAGCCTATTAAGGAAGGTCTAACAGGGTCTAGGTCTTGTTCAGGAAGGTTTTAAGGGTCAACTTGTGAACGTAAGAGTTCAACTAGTTTAGTTGTCTTAAATGAAGTGTTCTTTAATGCGTCATGGTGCTTGGAGAGAGGGTATGGTGCATAGGAGTGGGGTGTTCCATGGTGTACTGAGGTAGTAAAGTCCCTAGTGTAGTTTTGGGTTGGAAAATGGGTCTTTTTGTTTGGCAGATTTTATGGTTTTAGTGTAGAACACTCCTAAAGGTAGTCCGAGTCAGTTTATTATAATTTCCAGGATTTTGGTTCAATGGAATTCCTTCATTTCAGCCAGGAAAATATGTCTACAGTGCAGATGAAGTGCTACTCTCCATGGGTGGAGTGAAAGGTTTCACTACATGTTTTTGGGTAGGGCTGGAACTTGGCCCATGGGCTGGAACTTCAAACATCTGACAATTGAAGTTCCAGTCGGCAAATATGCCCAAAAAGTCGATACCTTAAAGGCACATATTGTCTAATGGACTATGGAGAAACTATAATCCATTGAGTCATAACTGAGGGAGATGAAAAGAGAGTGCGGCCTATTGTGCCATATATCAGTGGAGCCCACTGTCTTTCTACATCACCATATGCGGTTTTCATTGCAAGGGCGTGAACCTATTCGACTATGGTTTTCTATAGCACATGGATTGTTCTACAGTAGAATCCATTCCTTTATATCAGTTTGGACATATATATTAAGAGTAGTACTAAGTTTGCCTTAATTTAGAGCCTAAGTAAGTGGAGCACTAGCTTGGCAAACCTCAAAAAATAAATAATAGAACCCAACTTATCCTAAAAAAGTTAGTGGGTGTGGTTTCTATAAGGTTGCCACAATCCAATTAAGGCACACCTTCAAATTTTATCATAACATATAATTTTGTTATAAAACATTCTTAAGATTATCTTAAAATCTATTTTCATATCTAATTAGAAAATTTTAAAACTCCAAAAATGGTTAAAATCAAGTAGATATCTATAAACATATGAAAATCTTGAAAATATACGGTTTAGATAATGTGTTGCAAGATGCACTATTTTCTAGGACTCGAAAATTTTTTTTTTTCATATTCATACATCTTAATGTCGAGATGATCAATTAGCGGGTTTTCCAACATTAACACAACCTTTTCGATGGATTTTTTAGGTGCATCTGTAATTCTACATTTTAATGTTGTAACCTTATGCAAACTTTTTCCAAGATTACCCACAAACGTATCCTAAAAACTTCCCCAATAGGCCTAAATAGATAAAACAGAAGGACCATCTTTTTGTCCGTATTAAGGATGCCAATGGGCTAGCTAGGGCCATCAAGGCCCAAAACTACCATGAGCATGCCTGAAACTGTTCATGAAAAAATCGTGGCCCAGCCCGGTCTGAAAATACTCTATTGAGCTAGGGCCTAGGCTAGCCCATTAAGAAGCCTCACCTCCCACAACATCAAACTTATATGCGTCCCCTTATCCAACCCTCCATTCTAAATTGAGGGCTAAGATTGCCCCAATTACAATGTCACGTCTCTACGCTATTTTTTTTTTTCATTTTTTTTGTATATAAAATATTTTGACATCAAATTTTGGGCATCCAATCCTATATTCAAATAGCACTTGAAAAAAAGATATAAAAAATATTATCACTAAAATAAATTGATCAAAATACCCTTGAAAGTTTCAAAGGTATTTTGGTGATTATATTTTATTGAAAAATTATTTTTATTATTTTTTATAGGAGCACCCCAATGAGAAGATGATACTTACCAAATTTCATATTCATACAATTTGTATCAAAAATTTTAAAATAAAATACTTTTAGGCATCAGATCTAGAATCAAATGGTGAGTGGCTCACTTGATCAAAATTGAACTGGTAGATGGTCGGGGAAGCATAGATCTTCTATGTTGTAGAGGCAGTGTAGAAACCTTTCTTTTTTGTTTTTTTGGCGCTCTTTAAACTTTTTTTTTATTTGTAGTAAGCCAAAGAGAAAAGCATATGCTAAAATAATTTTAGAGAGAGAAAGAGATATTAGGTTTTCGGAGAGAGAGAGAGAGAAGGGGTTTTAGAGAGATATTCAATTTTTAGAGAGAGAGAGATTGGGTTTCAAAAAAGAGAGAATGAATTTTTAGAGAGAGAAAGAAATTGGGTTTGTATGTAGAGAAAGAAGGAGATATTGGATTTCTAGAGAGAGAGCATGAGTTTTTAAAGAGTAAAAGAGATCGAGTTTCAAGAGAGTGAGAGTGTAGTTTTAGAAAGAGAGATAAATTGGATTTTTAGAGAGAGAGAAGCAAATATTGGTTTTATCGAGAGAGTGCATGAGTTTTTGAGAGAGAGAGATTGGGTTTTTAGATAGAAAATGGGTTTTTAAGAGAAAGAGAGATTGGTTTTTTTTTAGAGAGGGGAAAAGTTTATATAGAGCCGAGGCTCTAAACAATCAAATTAGAGCCTATACTAGAAGAGGTTGTTTTGATGCCCAAATATCCTCAAATTGATTATCTCGACATCAAGATGCATGAACATGAAAAAAAAAAATGGATTTCAAGTTTTGGAAATAAGGTATTTTGAACGTATTTTTGGACCATTCATTTTCAAGATTTTCAAGTTTTCATAAATATGTTGATCTACACTCAGTTTTAGGCTTTAAACTTTATAAATAAAGATAGAAATATATTTTAAGCTATCACAAAGATTTCGGGTATTGAAAGCACATTTCTCAACACTATTTGAAGGTAGGCTTTAAGTTGATTGTTTAGAGCCTAGGCTCTATACAAACCGCACCCTTCATAGAGAGAATGAGATATTGGGTTTAGGGATTGGGTATTTAGAGAAAGAAAGAGAGATTGGTTTTTAGAGAGGAGTTATTGGATTTCTAGAGATAGAAAGATAGGCTAGGTTTTTAGAGATAGAAAGATATATTGGGTTTTTAGAGAGAGAGAGATAATAGGTTTTTAGAAAAAAAAATAGTGTTTCTAGAGAGAGAGAATGATGTTTTAGAGAGAGAAAAAGAGATTGGGTTTATAAAGAGAGAGTAGATTTTTAGAAAGATTAAGAGAGATTGGGTCTTTAAAGAGACAATGGGTTTTTAGAGAGAGCAAGAGAGATCGAGTTTCTAGAGAGGGAGAATGGGTTTTTTGGAGAGACAAAGAGGTTGGGTTTCTAGAGAGAGATGATGTGTTTTTAGATATAAAAAAAGAGATTGAGTTTTTAAAGAGAAAGAGATATTGGATTTCTAAAAAGAGAAATATGAGTTTTTAGATAAAGAGCATGAGTTTTTAAAGAGAGAAAAAGATATTAGATTTTTAGAGAGAATTGGTTTTTAAAGAAAAAAAATAGAGATCAGGTTTCTAGAGAGAGAGAGACAAATTGAGTTTCTAGTGAGAAAGAGATTGAGGTTCTAGATAGATAAAGAGATTGAGTTTCTAGAGAGAGAATAGTTTTTTAGAGAGATAAATGGATTATTTTTTTAGATAGAGAATGGGTTTTTAGAGAGAGAAAGAGAGATTGGGTTTTTAGAGAGTGAAAATGAGTTTTTAAATAAAAAAGAGGGATTGGGTTGCTATAGAGAGAAAACGAGTTTTAAATTTTCCAAAAAATATTTTAGCATCGATCTATTTTAATTTTTTATGGCTTACTACAAGAAAAATTTGAAGAGTGAAGATTTATAATAAATAAAAATAAAACTAAAAATAAAAGGCATTGTAAATGAGTCAGGCAATGCTTTTATTTGTGCCGGGTCACTATATTTTCAGGCTTACTGGGCACGCCTCGCTTGGGCAAATTTTTTGGCGTTTTGTGATGGCCCGGCAAGGGGCAGCCCGATCAGATAAATAGTGTTGTCATCAATGACCCAGCCTGGCTCGAAGCCCAAAATATGCCTGATAGGGGCCAGAATTCCGGCCTGGCCCGGTCCATTGGCAGCCCTAGACTCACTACCGGTATAAGTGTGGATATTGTTCTTATTTTCTTGATTGCCAGGAAAAACAATTAAAGATGAGAGTCATCTAAACAAGACCTTAAAGCGTCAAATGATCATCCTAAGATCATTCCTCCCTAAACCCTAACTCTCAAGTCACCAGATGAATAACTCGGACCTCTCAAGCCAATTAACACCTGGCACGTGGTGATTTTATGCCAGCTGGTGATACACCAATAATCATGTGACACGTGGCAGCCTGAGGGGATGAATTATTAGGAGTTTTACAAGTATTCTAAAGTGAGCTGTTATTAGAGTGGATAAACAAAAATTAAGGGATTAGGTGGGACTTTAACATCAAACCAATGAGACATTTCATTAGCATCTCAATTGCTGCAAAATCATATGGTTATGGTAAACCAAAAGGAAGGGATATAAAATAGGGGAGGTTTTGCAAAGGGCCCACCTTATACTATACAAGTAACTCGTTTCTCTAAAATTTAAAATTCTAGAAAGGTTTAAATCCAATAGATATATAAATATTTAAAAAATAAACAATTTATATAACTTCTTTCAAGATGCATTGTTTTTAAGATTTTAATTTTTTTTTCTTTATATACAAATATTTCGAGATCAAGATAGTCAATCGAAAGGTTTTCCAACTTTAGTACTCCTTTCTTCTTAATTTTAGGTACAACCTATTTCTTTTATAAGGCCGTTGCAACCCTATATAAACTCTTTTTTATAGAATATTGTCTCATTGTTTTATGGAGAGAGAATCAAATGGATGTCATTTGGACACCACTACCTGTCAATACATACAAATTGAATTTTGATGGAAAGTCTTTTGAAAACCCAAACACCCAAACACAACTGGTTTTGATAGATTGATAAGGGACTATACAAGGCATGCTATTTGCTTATATTCTGGCCCTTGTGGTGGTTTTATGATGAAAGCTGCTATAATTTCTCATAAGATATGAGATATTCTTAAAACTATAAAAATTAAAATATGCTATTGCTATTGGGAGGCTAATGCTGAAAGACTTTGTCTATATCTTGTATTTTTTTTTTTTAATGAAATGTTTTTGGTAATATTAAAAGAAAAAAAGAGAGAATAATTATGTGCTGGTTCATCGAGAGAGCGTACTAATTCAATAATACTGTATTCTGGACTTGTTATTGGTTAGGACGGCGCACATGTAGACCCCCGTATACACATTGCCAGGGAAGAGAGAGAAGGGGATTAGGTTTTTTTAGAGAGAGAAAATACGTGTTTTGTCCACCGACACAGGAGATGCAAGGCATGAAAACAAAGCCACAATCAAAACGCAATAGGTGTCGGCAGCATTTTTATATTTATATTGTCATTACTTGATATGCTCTTTATTTGCTTCTATTATTATCCTGTTCTTCTACGTAAATGACAACATGCTCCTGCTAGCCGACGCTCCGAAATATTAAGAAAGTGGTCTTAAAATAAAAAAAAGTTTGCTTAACACGCTGCAATTTAAAATGTAGAATTACATATGCACTTAAGAAATCCAACGATGTTGTTTTAATATCGAAAAATCTTTTAATTGATCATCGGAGGTATTTTGATCATTTTATTTTTTACAGATAATTTTTAATTAGGTGTGTCTTGATAAGAAGAACACACATTTAAAATTTCAAGTGATTTGGATATGTAGAAACAAAACTAAAATTTAAATATCACTGGATATCCATGATCATCAGATCGGCCCATATTCAATATGGGCCGTTGGGCTCATATGTTTATATGAGCTAGTGGGCCAATCCTATCTCTTCCCATATATATATGTATATATATATATAAAGGATTTTGAGTCCTAAAAATAGTGCATCTTGCAACACATTATCTACATCGTCTATTTTCAAGATTTTTATATATAGATGTACTTGATTTTGACCAAATTAGATATGAAAATAGATTTTGAGATAACCCTAAGAGTTTTTTACACCAAAATTACATGTTACGATAAAATTTGAAGGTGCGCCTGAATCGGATTGTTTAAGGTCGCAACCTTATAAAAACCGTACCCATTAAAATATGGAAGACACAGTTGCATTAAGGGCATTATTGTCAATTTTAGAGATAATTATGTTAGTTCTTCCAACTAGTGTTTTAAAGCCCGGAGATTTTTGTCAGAACCTAATATGATTCTAAGAGATTATGGGTGGTTCCCTCTTAAAAACCCTAATATTTTTTTTAAAAGTTTATATTATAATTTTTTAAGTTCTTTTTAAATCATCACTTTATAAACTTTGTTTTAATAATTAATTTATTTTATATATTTTAAATTGTTTTTGTATAACCAGGACCGATCCAGACCTGATTCAAATCGTCAATCCAGCAACGTGATAAATATATGTAGGTGCATAATCCACCCCACCAATGTAGGTTTTGGAACATTGCTTAAAATAAATTACAATATTTTAGACATTGTAGAGTAACAATATTTTTTGGTTTAAGAAGAGTGATGATATTAAACTTTCCTTTAACCCATCCTATACCCGAGTAAAAAGGCATGGTTGTGATAAGTAGGCAGCCAACATAAAATTTTGTCAAAACTCATCATGAATCCTGATAGAATTAGGATTCATGTAATCCAACCCAATTAATTGAAAAAATGCTAAAATGATGATGATGATAGAGTAACAATGTTTTTAATGGAAAAGAATTAGGTAAATGGTCTAAAACATGATTGATTATTTTCAAATGAAATTATGACCTACAGTGAGATTCCATTTCAGCTTTAGATTTATGAACTTGGATCTCTATATCTGGCCATCCATGAAGTATCGAATGAATAGTTGAAAACGGCCAAAAAAGCGTATGTATATACAAAAATTTAATTGACTCCAATTAGTTGAAAAAATGCTTTGATAATAATGAATATTAAACAATTTTATCAACTTTTTTTCGATTGTGTTTTTTTTATTCAGAACAATAATCATGGTATTCAAGATGTTAAAAATGTGAAATTTTGGACTCAAAATCTAACTCTAACATAAATTTTGAAAAGGATAGAATCACACCAACAGGAGCTCATTGAATGACCCTAGACCATACCCATATTTTATTTCCAAACAATCTTTGATAAACGTATGGGATTGTGGTGCACTAGCTTACGTTCTTTTTCAAACATCTATCTTAGAGATGAAATTTTTATTTAAAATTTTGTAATTAAAAAATTTTTACCACCACAATTATGAATTTCAAAAATATAAATGTTGAGCTTTTAGAGCAGACTATATTAAACTCTACTTTGAATCGTAAACCACTGTTAATTATAGTTTTTTTCTTTGTTGATCATCAAAATTACATTATCGTTTGAGGTGCGACAAATCTAAAGCGGAAATGTTATTTAAAGCATGTTTTAGGTCCTAAATTTATCTCTAAAATAGGATTTTGAAAAGTGTAGGCATCGAACAAAAACTCATTTTTAAACATTTGTCTATGCTAATTTTATTTTTTATAATTTCCCATAGTCCAAGATCTAGTGACATTTTTGTCATATGATAAAATCAGAAGCCCATCTTCAGTGAGCAACCTACTAAATTGACTTTTAATCAAAAGCAAGAGAGAGGAGAGAGAGAGAGAGAGAGAGAAAAAGAGGGAGGAGAATTTAGTGCAAGTGAGAGGAGAGAGAGAGATTTACTGGAGACTAGAGAGAGAGGAGGGGAACCAGTCAGAAGTTTTAGAGAGAGAAAACAAAAAGACAGGTAGAGAGAGAAGATTTATAACCAGTGCGAGAATCTAATGGAAAGTTAGAAGCTAATTTTATTTTTTATAATTTCCCATAGTCCAAGATCTAGTGACATTTTTGTCATTTGATAAAATCAGAAGCCCATCTTTAGTGAGCAACCTACTAAATTGACTTTTAATCACAACCAAGAGAGAGGAGAGAGAGAGAGAGAGAGAGAGGAGAGAGAAAAGAGGGAGGAGAATTTAGTGCAAGTGAGAGGAGAGAGAGAGATTTACTGGAGTCTAGAGAGAGAGAGGGGGAAACCAGTCAGGAGTTTTAGAGAGAGAAAACAAAAAGACAGGTAGAGAGAGAAGATTTATAACCAGTGCGAGAATCTAATGGAAAGTTAGAAGGCAGTAAGAGGGAGTGGTTGAGTCTTTTACACTTAGATCTGCAAGAGCAAGTAGCTTCATGTGGAGAAGCAGGCTTTGGGGAAAGCCACTCTCTTCCGATCTGAGGAAGACTTTCTTTCTCTAAAAACTCTCTCTCTACACTGAAATGGTGTTCTCTCACTCTTTTTTCACCAGCAGATCTACAATGGGCTACTCAAGCTCCGTCACTGCAGTGGTTGCAGTGCTACTTTTTGGCAGCAGTTTCACTTCAACAGGTCAGTGTCCTTCATGTTGCAAATTGTCTCTTTTTTTTTTCCTTTCATGTGCACTTGTTTGGATTCAAGCTTTAGATCTATCTCTTTTCGGATGGATTTAGGATGTTGGTTTCGTTAGATGGATGGAATAGAGAGAGAATTTGTATGCTTGAAAGATTTGGCTTTTGAAATTTCACTAGAAGGAGAAGAATTAATGGGGTTATCACCATTCGGGCTCATATGAAGATTGGAGATTTGTTTTTGACAATTGCGATAATGTTTCTTTAGGATTTGAGTTTTTGAAGGTTCGGCATTTTGGGATTTCTTCTCTCATTATTTGTCAAATAAAAAATAAAAATTCTTCTCTCTCTACCTCTATACTTTTATATTTGTTGGGCGGTCTCAAAAATGTGAAAGGGGTAGATAAATAACATGGAATTCTTATGTTTTACTATTTTAAAGATCTGGCATTTGCATTTTCATCAGAAAGAAGAAATCTTGCAGTGTATTATGGGTAATTTTCCATATGGATTACAGGAACTGCTGAAAGGGCTTGATTTTTAATGCTTTTTTTTTTGGTTTTTCCTATTGATATTTCCGGAAATTTAGCAGAATGCCTTTCAAAAATGTAAATTTGGAATGTGATCTTCAGGGGGTTTTGAATTTTGATAGAAATTTAGTTAGGCTCTGTTTGTATGAGAGAAATTCAGCATTTGGGTCTCTAAATTGTGGGTTTTATTTGAATGGGCCAGACCATGTTTTCCTCTTTCAGATCAGGCATTTAGGATAAAGGTTTCAGATAAATTGGTGAAAGAATTTCAGTTTTTTATTTTCTATTTCTTTTTTCTATTTCGTTTTTAAATTTTTAAAATTTTACAATGTGGATTTCGCAAATGGTTCAAAGGGACAATGGTTCAAAGGGACACTAATACTATCGTCTCAGAATTTGAGTATGTGGGTTTGGAACTTGGAAGAGGGAGGGTTTTTTGTGCTTGTGTGGTTTAGGATTTGGATTTCTTTTACAGTTACCGAATCATTTGGTGAGTTCAGTAGGAGAGATCATATTGTTGCCTCTCGGGTCTGAGATGTAGGGATGAGAAAAAGAGAGAGGAGAGGGGGTGTTGTTGGGGGGGGGTTTAGTAAAAACTTTGTATTTGTGTTGTAGACTTCGTGTTAACATCTGTTTATTCCTTTTCGCTTTGTTTAACTTTGCCTTTGAGATTTAGCAGTTTGGTTTCTAGATATTTCGAAATGCAATAAAAAATTTGGTATCATGTTTTCACGGATTGTTGCCTTCTTTGGAATAATTTTCTCAGAGGGTTAACTTGTCTCCAAAATATTGTATCAGTTGATCATGCACGAATAGAGAATTACATAATTTGTAATCATAGACAGAATGATTGTTCCATGTTTGTATTTTTCCATTTCAAACATTTAGAAGATTAGAAACTATATTTTAATCTTCTGATAAATAATGACACTCTATTTAGCAGAAAAATTTGATCGTTTCTATCCGGGAAATGGAAGTTGCCATTTAAAAATAATTTGTAAACGGGGCCAGTCATACCCCACCACCCCCTTCCTCCTGCCTCTCTCTTCGCGTTTTGTACGTTTGATATGAGATTCCTCGATAAAACTTGCTTAATCGTACACTTGGTTTATTAGAATTTCAGTAAATGAAATGAATGATGATTGGGGTTTTTTGAAGTGAAAGATTTATGACCTAATTTTTTTCCTCCCTCCAGCCCTTTGTTCATTCTTCTATTGTATTATTTTAGTTATTCCTTACATATTCGTTTTTCAAATTTCTCATCTTTTATGTTGCAGATGCCTATGATGCACTGGATCCTAATGGGAATATCACAATCAAGTGGGATGTCATACAATGGGCCCCAGATGGCTATGTTGTAAGTGTGTTATTTCAAAGGCAAAATTGCTAACTTGTATTTTTCTTTTTTATTTTGTAATTTTTAATATTTAATCCTTGTTTCATAAGACTCAAAATATAAAAATAAAAAGGGAAAATATGCTATAATCATATGGACTATAAGCACCAAGCACCATTAGCAATATGGTTCATCACCTTCTAAGAAAATGATTGATGATGATGGACAAAGTGGGACCCTTTGGGTCATCTCCTTTACAAGTGAGCCCTCACTCTTTTCCCATGGAATGTGAACCTTCCCATTGATGAAAGTACACTGAAAGTTTGTTATATGTTCTAAATATGCTGAAAAAACAGAAATTTGTTTCTGATACATCATTAAAATTTGAATACTGTCTGCTCTGTAACCGATTAATTGGGAAAAGGCTATGATGATGATGATGGTCTGCTCTGTAATTTCTGGTTAAATTATGAAAAGAAGACAAGCCTTTGATCACTGTCAACAGGAACAATTTAATACAAATAATCTCTGTGACCAGTCAAAAAAGTTTTATTCATCTTTGTGATCTGGTTCTTCTTTGGATATGTAATTCATTTCATAAAATGGTGGCAAATCTTTTCAATTTCCTGGTGAGACAAATTCTAGGGAGCTTTAGGAATTCTGATTTCTGGATGAAAACACTGTAGAAAATGTTAGAAAATGGCAGATATATTTTTATAACCTATGTTTTCCCAACTGTATGACTTTTATTTTCCTTACAAACTTATATTTACCTTTTTATCATAAAAAGGAAAATTCTAGAGAAAAGAGAAAATGCTCAAGAACCTCTCAATACGAAGAAAAACCCACTTTCCAAAAGCCTTGCTCTAGTTTTGCATATTTTCAGTGGATTATATATATGGGTTTCTGCTCATTCTCTGGAAAATTAAACAGGCAGTCGTCACAATGTACAATTTCCAACAATATCGCCATATTCAAGCACCAGGATGGACTCTAGGATGGACATGGGCAAAGAGTGAGGTTATATGGTCCATGGTTGGAGCTCAAGCCACTGAACAAGGAGATTGCTCTAAATTCAAGGGCAACATTCCTCATTGCTGTAAAAAGGACCCCACAGTTGTTGATTTATTGCCTGGTACTCCATATAACCAGCAAATTGCTAATTGTTGTAAAGGTGGGGTTATTAATTCATGGGTTCAAGACCCTGCTGGTGCACTGAGTTCCTTTCAAATAAGTGTTGGAAAATCTGGTAGCACCAACAGAACTGTCAGAGTGCCGAAGAACTTCACTCTCAAAGCTCCAGGCCCTGGTTATACATGTGGACCTGCTAAAGTAGTGAAATCGAGTCGGTTTTTAACGGGTGATGGAAGAAGAACGACCCAAGCTTTGAGTGAGTTATATTTTCAATTTGACTTTTATTAAGAGTTTAGATTTGAATATTGGCTTTCATTTTGGGTGTAGGTTGGTTTGGTTTGTAGAGAGCGGTTCAAACGGAATACATATTGGGTGTCTCGGTAATAAACCAGAGTGTCGTTTGGCTTGAATCTTTACTTTTTTTATTTGGTTGTATCTTGCTTCTTTTCCCTTTTTTTGCCTGAAGATATTAGGTGGGTAAGGCTTATAGTTGGTCTCGTTTTGCTACTTCTTATAAATATGCAGTTAGCACATTTCACTTCGGATTTTCCATGTTGGCATTTTTTTTTTCTAGAAAAATGGGATTAAGTCTCTAATTTTGAATGTTATGTTTCTTCTAATGGGGTGGTCATATTTAATTGAACATTGCCAGGTTTCTTTTTCCTGAAGATATTGGTTGGATAGAGTTTAGATATTCATTTATTTTTGTTCTATTGATTTCTTTTTGTTCTTTTCATATGCTTTTTGGATTTTAATTCTTGATTCTGAATGCTTTTTACTCATTGCAGTGACATGGAATGTGACCTGTACATATTCTCAATTTTTGTCTCAGAAGACCCCCACCTGCTGTGTTTCTCTATCAGCTTTCTACAATGAGACAATTGTCCCATGTCCCACTTGCACCTGTGGCTGCCAAAATAATATAACTCAACCAGGAAGTTGTGTAGAGTGAGTATTTTTAACAATTGCTCTTTCTTTCAAGTTTTTTTTAATGAAGTGACAACCATGGATTCTTAAGGGGTGAACTTGAATGATGGTTCTCTTTGTTTCTCTCTCCAGTGTTTTAATAAAATAAAAATCACTTTCAGAAAATGGGCTCTTTCCTTTTCACTTGTTAATATTACTGTGGCCTCTTTTTACAGGGGGGATTCGCCTTATCTACAACAAGCCATTACAAACACAGGAAAGAACAACTACGCACCTTTAGTTCAGTGCACAAATCATATGTGCCCGGTTCGGATTCATTGGCATGTGAAGCTAAATTATAAAGAATACTGGCGTGTGAAGATCACTATAACAAATTTCAATTATCGAATGAATTATACTCAATGGAATTTGGTTGTTCAGCACCCTAACTTCGACAATCTCACACAGATCTTCAGTTTCAATTACAAGTCCTTGACACCTTATGGACCAGCGATAAGTAAGCTGAAATCATTAAATGGGATCAAATCCTCTGTCGTTTATTGGTATTATTAGGGATAATCCACATATCTATATCTCTTTTCCTTTTTCTATTTCCTTTTGAAATTTTGAAGTACTTTTATTTAGTACCTAGTTTACTATGGTATCTCTTTTAGGTTTTTTTTTATTTGATGGAATAAGATTCAGATGGGATACTCTTATTCTGATGTCAAAACTACTTGTGAATATTCTGAAGAGTAGATTGTTGGATCATGTATTAAAGCTATTTGACTATTCTTATTATCTAATGGTTGAAAGATTTGGAAAATCAGATTTTACAAGCCCATACCTGACATCCTTCAAGGTTGCAATTTTCCTAAATTCTTGTAAGCGGTCATTAGTTCAAAATCAATGGCTTTTTTTTACATCAAGGACTATTACTCTTTCTTCTCCCTGTTCTACTGATATAGTTCCATGTACCATACATTTTCCTTTTTATGATTTCTTTTCTAGTGATGAATCCTTATTTGGTTTCTTTTATCATTGTTGCTATCATGGTGCTCTTTGTGTTTGTATTTGTGTATGTATCTGTTTGTATGTGTATATAAAATTCTAGCAGAGTTACATCTCTTTCTCTTCTCTCTCTCTCTCTCTCTCTCTCTCTCTCTATATATATATATATATATATATATATCTCTTTCTGCAAAGTTTCTGATCTATTTTCTAATCTGTGTTGCTAGATGACACTGCCATGCTCTGGGGGGTCAAATTCTACAATGATTTGCTTATGGAAGCGGGCCCCTTTGGCAACGTGCAATCCGAGCTTCTTTTCAAGAAGGACGCATCGTTCACCTTTAAGCAAGGCTGGGGGTTACCCCGACGTGTATATTTCAATGGAGATAACTGTGTCATGCCCCCCCCTGATTCATATCCATGGCTCCCCAACTCTTCTCCTCATCTGAAAATGACAAAATTACCCCTTGCCATGTTTTGTCTAACGACCATTGCACTCTTGCTGTCTTTGTTCTGATAACAATGGGAGAAACTAATGCTTTTTGGTAAATTATGAGGGTTTCTCAAATGGGATATTGATGGAATTTCCAGCAGATAATTGGATACCAATAGTGGCCTCGGGGACCCGGATGAAGGAATGGATTAGTGGCTCATTTATCTCTTGGTTGAAACTTATTTGTTCTCTATGAAGGAAAAAGTGGAAAAACATAAGGATCAGTTATTCTTGGTTCTTTAATTAGGTTGAAGTGTAAGATCTGGTTATACGTGTTTTGTACCTTGTGTGGGGGTTCCTATGCTCTGGTGTTATTTGATAGTTCTTCGATGTCCATATTGTGTTTTATTTGGATAAACAATGGACACATGCTCCTGTTCCACGAATGTATTGACTCTTGGAACATTTATTTGTTTAACAAAGGCATTGGAGATTGCAGTTTATATATGCAAACATGGAATTGTGTACTGTTACTATTTTAAGTAAAATATTCTATGCTAGCACCTTGGGCTTACCTACAATGTGCTAAAACCTCACGAGCAATCCAATGTCAATAGTGAAGGTCTGATGGGACTTTGAGTGGAGGGGCAACACATTTGACTGTCCATTGGCAACACTGGGCCATCCGATGACAACAGTGGATGGTCGGTCTGATGGACTTTTAAGTGGACTATCATCATGCTCTGGTGTCCATTATTGACACTGGGCAGCTGATGAGGTGCTAGCCAACTGTAGGAAGCATCAGTCCTAGATATACAGACCTGTTATTCTGTTCATTGACGGTGTTTTGCTTCTTTCATTTCTTTTTAGAACTGATAGTTATAAAAGAAAAATAATTTGAACCTGGTTCACCTTTGACAGCATCCAATGTATTGGAGAGAATGCTATTGATGTGTACATTATTTGTCTTGAAAAACATTTTGTGCGCTTTCTTCACTTGGTACTTTTGAAACCGGCACTGCTTTTCTAGTTGAATTATAGTTAAGGATGTGTGTTCACCCACATGTGAGCATGTGTGTGTGTGAGAGAGCCTTATACACACCTTCTTTTTTTTTTTTTTTTTTTTTTTGAGTCTTATGCACTAGCTTTTTTTTTATTTTTTATTTTTCTTTTTTTTTGGTGAAACTCAGTCTTATACACATGCTATAATCACAATATTGTGGAACCAACTTGCATTCACTTGAATTATATTTTTGAGAGAACAACACTCTTACTGTTAAGCTAGGGCTTAAATGAATGTTTGTGTGGACAATTTGGAGTAAGCATTTTACCACCCCACGATTGCAGATTCAAGACATTTGTAATATGATGTTTTAGAAAAACTAGCACTCCACTAGTTGAGATCTAGCCTAGAATCTCTGTCTCTCTCGCTCGCTCTCAAAAGTTTGTACATGAATTCAGTCCCGAACAGTTGTGACAATCCCAAATTCTATACCCCACCAAAGCTACAAATAAATAATCAAAACAGGTATCCAAAAATCAGTGATAAGCAAATCATGGAAGAAAGAGATCTCCAAAAGTTCATAACCTTCGTCAGGTAGCCAGAATTTGGAAGGAAGGGATATGTATCAGGTGGCGGCAGCATACACTCATCGCCATTGAAGTAAATCTTTCGTGGGAACGCCCAACCTTGTTTGAAAGTGAAGGTTTGTGCATCCTTTTGCAACAGAATCTCTGATTGCACATTCCCAAATGGCCCCGCTTCCATGAGTAGATCATTGTAGAATTTCATCCCATAGAACATTCCAGTATCATCTGCAAAACTTTTCTATTAGATATTCTTTCACTTGAATGTGTCTGTGTTCATATGAATAGAAGCTAAACAACTATCTTAGAGTTAGCCTCCATAAAAATATTAGAAGGTCAACAGCCCTTAACATGGATGTGCTTTTTAATTTGGGAAATTTTGGTTCTCAGAAGGGAGACTTGAAGTTAATGAAAAGGGACCTGGAAATTTGTTAGGTGAAGCCATGTCAAAGTTTCTCAAAACAAGGCATTGCTTGTATGGTATCACCGAATAATGTTCCTTGTCACTTTGTAGGTCTTTCTATTTTACCCATGCAATGATGTGCTAATATGGTTAGATATATGCTTTATGTGATCTTTTGAAAAGACATATCTATTAGAAGGTGAGGTTAATTTTGATCTTTTTTATCTCAAGTTATATCGTATTTTGCTAATGTTAAATTTTGATAACATGATCTTAAACCATGACCATGGGCTATGGTATGATGTACATGCCTTGCAATTATGGTCTCCATGGTGATGACTATGATCACATCTGATTGCAACCATAATCAGAAATGAACATCGTAGTCACCATGATTCACGATCATCATATCCATGCTTATATGGTCATGGTCATGCTAAACTGGCAACAACCATGAAGTGGTGTGGTGGTCATGGTGGCCAGTTGGATATGCGAATCAGATGATAATAATATGGGCTTGTGCTCATACTTATCGATCCATAGGGGAGGAGCGGCTTGTAATCGAAACTGAAGACTTGGGTGACATTGTTGAGGTTTGGGTGCTGAACTACAAGGGTCCACTGTGTGTAGTTCAACCTGTAATTGAAGTTGGTGATAGCTATTTTCACTCGCCAGTACTCCTTGTAGTTCACCTTAACATGCCAGTGCACACGTATGGGGCACATATGTTTTGTACACTGCAACAATGGTGCATTGTCCTTTCTCGGTGTGTTTACTCCTGGCTTTAGTAGCAACTTTGAGTCACTCCTGACAATTTTGCATGAAAACTAAGTTAGGTTGTGTCTAGATCTTGGTATCAAGGAAAAACAAATATTGATGTATTGTGAACCGATATGTCAGATTCTAGAACCCTAGAACATACCCCAATATGCATATACTTATGCTTATTTGCACGTATGTATGTTATGTCAAACTCAGATGGAAATTCAGTGTTCACCATATCCAATATGAGAACATTTATGTGCATGTATATACGTATATTTCACCAAACATGGGTTCTCAAGGAAACATTAACCAATATATTAATGTCAGAGCATCTATGTATGTCTGTTGAACCCAAATTTTGGATCTTATAGGATCAGCGAAATGAACATTCATTCATTTATGTACAATTTGTCTATCTACATATGGATGCATGTCAAAACCGACCATAGATTTCCAAGGTTAACCCAATGTTTATGTATATATGTGGCTACATGCATACATGCATATTGGTTTCCATAGTTCAATACTACCAATAGAGAAGTCCTTTTACATGTATATATATGTATGTATGCATGTGTGTTTAGAAGACTTACTGGATGCAAGTATTATTGTTCTGGCAGCCACAAGCACAATTGGGGCAAGGGATGATGGTCTCGTTGTAGAAGGAAGAGAATGATACACAGCAACTGGGGCTTTTCCTCGCTAAGAACTGCGAGTATGTGCACGTCACATTCCATGTCACTACGGTTGAAGAAGAAAAGCAAAACATCAATCTGAGTTCATGGACTTAACGTTGAACAGCCCCTAAGCTGGTGCATGGTGCTCCATAGTTCAACCTTAAGATTTAGGTCCAAATCATACAGTTCACAATTGAGAAGGTAAAACATAATAAAGAAAAAGAAGAAGAAGAAGAAGAAGAAGAGACTACCATTTAAGGGAATGATTGATAGGGGTGCTCTGTTCATTTCTTTCTTGAGAAAACTCTTACAGCCAAGGCAGTTCCAGTATTTTGGTTTTTGGCCCCTGGCCAGTTTCTTAATGAACATAGGGTATTGTAAACCTTTGATCATGGGAGAGTTTACCGTGATCCTTGTGACTACTACGGAAAATCCAGTCATGAAGGTCGTCAATTTTCAACCAATGGTTGGATATTGATAGAGACAGAGGGGTTCCCCTGCTGAAGTCATGTCGTGCTCATGCCAGCACCATTTTTTATCCATCACCAACCAACCAACCAACCACTGTTTCACCATTACCTCATGACTACGGATATGCCATAATCCTCAGGATTATACCTTGTCTAATATGTTAAGGGAAAAAAGAAGTCTTGGAATAAAAACATATGGGACAGATTTAGCCCAAGAACCATGTGGTTCGTTCCGATCTCAAAACTTCTTAGATCATCTTTCATAGTGTTATGGTCATTTTTTTCTTCTATGGGTCGTTCAGTGGCAGTAATCGAACTTGAGATATCATGTTGCAATTGTCAACACCTTAAACATAAAAGCACTAAGCCTGAATCAATGGTAAAATTCGAACTTGGGACATCATGCTACAATTATCAACGCCTTAACTAATGAAGCCCTGAGCCTGAATCCCAATGTTCATGCTTTCATGAAAAACAATCGATATTTGGAGTTTTATCATCTTTAGTTCCAAAGAGCTAGAATGAGACAATGTCCATCATTTTGTTCATGCATATAACAGATTTGTCATTTTAAGACACAGAGAGACAGAGACAGAGACTCACTCAAAGCCTGCGTCTTGCGCCGGCCATCAGTTGTAAGGAACGTTGTTGCTGGTACTGTCTTAGCTGGGCCACATGTGTAGCCAGGCCCTGGTGTAAGGAGAGTGAAATTCTTGGGGAGTGTCACTGTCTTGTTCGAGGTCCCCGCCAAGCCCACGCTCACTTGAAAGGCAGATATTGAAGCCAACGGGTCCTGACCCCACGCAGCCACGACCCCTCCCTTACAACAATTTGTGTATTGTTGATTGTAGGGAACTCCGGGTAACAAGTCAACGACTGAAGGGGTCTTTTTGCAGCAATGGGGTATGCTGCCTTTGAATTTCGAGCAGTCTCCTTGTTCGGTGGTTTGGGCACCCACCATGGACCATATGACCTCTTTCTTGGCCCAGGTCCACCCCAAGGTCCACCCTGGGCTCATGATATGCCGGTACATCTGGAAGTTGTGCATATTCACCACCGCCTGTAATCGAGAATAGTAGAGTGAGAGGACAATGATGTGTGGCGCTTTGGTCATTTGACCAAGGACGATGTTTACATTTCAACTATTTAACATTTTGCTCTCTTTCAACTATTTCAGCTCATGATTGTGTGCCTTTTGGTGAACTTTTTACAATTAAATCAAAAGAAACTAATAAAATGCTGAATAACTGATGCTTTGGTGTAATTTGATAAATTTTCTCTACTTTTATGAAATTAAGGAGACAGCAGTTTTTTATCCTTCCAGCTCTTATCAAGTAGCCTCAACCGCATTTTTACAGATGCAGGGGTACAAATAAGCTGCAATAGTATTCCCACACAAGTGGAGGAAGAAGATACTACAATTTCTATTTAGTAGTCCAACAAACAGCCTCTAAGGGAGTAGAAGCTACCTGATACTAGTACAAGGTTCACATGTTATCTATGCTACTCTGCTTAAACAAATTATTAAGAACTAGTGTTATTGTAAGGAAACCTGAGGAAATAAGCATCTCTCTCTCACGCCCGCGGGCACACACACACACAAATTTTTGTAGAGTTAGAGAGGGATAGTAACATTGAAAGAACAAGGATGGGTTCTACATACCACATAACCGTCCGGTGTCCACGATATCACGTCCCATTTGATCGTAATATTACCATTAGGATCCAACGGATCATATGCAACTAATTCAATTACAAAACCAAAAACCGGATTAAAACCCCAACAACGAAAATGCAAAAAATTAGTATAAGCAAATACCCAATTTTGGAGCAGCAGATTCCTTACCAGCACAAGAAAAAAAGGCGGCCATAAGAATTGCACTGACTGTAATTTTCATCTTTCGACGTATGTGTCTTCGAAAATCACCAAAAATTGTGAATTTCTTTTTATGTTTTTATACTTTTTCTTTAAGGTTTACAAACAAAGGAATGGCCAGAAAAGATGGTAAAAATTACTTTCACGGAAGGAGGAGAAGAAGAAGATGACGATGATGGGCATTCTGACATAGGCTTGTGCCAGAGAGTGGTGAGTGAGGAGGAGGAGAGGGACTTAAGGGGTAGAGAGAGAATCTGAAATAAATATATTGAATTGAGATTTGCTTTTTTTTTCTATTTCCTTTGATATGGTGTACCAACTGGTTGGTGCTTATTGTTGAAGCCATTTTCAATCAATTGTCACACCTCTCTCTCTCTCTCTCTCTCTCTCTC